CACAAAGCGTGCCATTTTCAAACTCTCACAAATTATTTTCAATATTTTGCATTAAAATCTCGCGACCCCAAGATTTCGCTAAGCGACCCCAAATGGGGTCGCGACCCATAGTTTAAGAAGCCCTGAGCTAGATAAAAGAGGCTTCTCTAACGTTTCGCCTCAATAAATACAATAGGCTAATTTTTCTTACGTTACAATATAAGATATCGTAACGCAAGAGAATCCCAAACTGTTCTTCAGTTTTTACAACCGACTAAAAGAAAGGGTGTCAGCCTTCTGCTAAGGGAATTGGATTCGAATAATATACATTTTCAAATTTTCAAAACAGAAGACATTGCGTATGTGTCAATGAACTACCATATACAAGCAGGTTTTAAATTCCGGACAACTCATTCTTTCGTACAGAATAATCTGCTTCTCTTAAACTATTTTTTGTATACAAAATAAGACACATTTTCGTTAATTTGCTATATTGCGGAGCTTTCTATTCAGTTTTGGTTTCTGTAACACCAAAACATTCATGAAAGTTAATTTTTATATATCTTTATATAATTTTTATATATATTTATATATATCTAATATAAACAAATCATAGATTTGTTTGTCATATGGATGGAGAGTCCAGCAACGGCCGAGTGCAGTAGCGTACCGTNACCTCGTTTAACGCTGTTTCATTTAGCGCTTTGTCGTCTAGGAACGCATTCTAAGCGGTAAACGGTCTTACTGTATATATAAAAACGAACGGTTGCATTATATTCCTTATACATCACTTAATATAAAACTAACAAACTTTCTATTTTAGAAATGTATTATACAGTAATACCCCGAACTTACGCGATAGGTGGGACCGAGCGACAGTAGCGTACCGTAGTAGGGGCGGCAGGGGCGGCCCGCCCCGGGCGGCACTTTTTAGAGGGCGGCAAAATTTCACAATAAATAATAATAATATCTTGTAAAAATTTGAAATATCTTAACCTATACTTGCATCACGCCTACGATAGTGCTATCGTCCGGACAGTCTGGGAATCGGCTCGCCGTTCGGGTGAACTAGTAATTTTTTCATCCGAGGAAATCCTGCGAAACCTGTTGACCTTTTTTTTTGCTTGTACAATTCATTCGCGTTCATATACATCACTAATATCTAATAGAACTATTTTAAACGCTGCACTACCAACGAATTTTTTATCGCTTGTTCTGTGACAAAACTGAATTTTGGTCTTTTAAATCGAAATACCTAAATTAGGGGAGCGAAATTTTCCTCCGCCCCGGGCGGCTGACACCCACGGCACGCCACTGGCCGAGTGGACAACCACTGAAGTCCAATAGGCTAGTCGAATGAGGTTTCCTTATACTTTTCGTGTCTAATAACACATAAATAGAAGCCAATTCCCATAGTAGGCCTTCTGAGAGACACTCTTCCTCGGAAGATCAGCTATGTACTTTTGCATTGTCTTATTCCAGCACTACAACTCAATCCATATGGAAAAGCGTCAAAGATTTTTGCCAGAGGATCTTGCTCTAAAAGCATTATTTTCTTGTATGTTTCTTTATGTTTTTTTAAGAGATCAAACTATAATTCAATTGTAACTTTTAAATAAGTTTCATGAAAATAAAATTTCGAACGTTTTTAGCTACGAATTTTAGGCAGATTCCAAAAATAAGGACAAAATAAACATCCGGGCTCAAAGTGCCACCGGACGGAGGACAAGAGTGCTGAAAAACCGAATTGTCCCGTCTAAAGTCGGACGTTTGGACCAACCTACATGTTCTTTTTTAATAATTGATCTTCAATCTCAAATTTGTAAATTACAGTACTTCTTCAGAACAAGATTTAGAGGATCAAATCAAAACCAATGTTTAAATTGAGTATGCTTGTTAGTATCTTCTAATTGCTGTTTGTCATTTATTAACAAAAATGCTTTTAAGCTAGACGGATATTCGTCATTATTTAATGAAGTTAATTTTTCGCTTGCCTGTTCATACATTGATGAATCGTTTTCAACGCATTACAGAGAATTTTTCCTGTTTTGTTTACATTTTTAAAATATTTGTTTAAAGATCCTGATAATTGTTATAAACTTTTCTGGCGACTATCTCTTTGCTTTCGATAAACAGCTTCAGAAAGTAGGTTTAGTTTTTGTTCTACATTTTATCCCATTAGTAGAAAATTATAATTATAATGAGTAATACATTTTCATACGACTTTACGTACAGTAGAATCCCGATTATCCCAGGTAATGTGGATCGACTGTATTTCGGATAATCAAATCGGCACCTTTGATTGAGGACATGAAATAATTAATATAAAAATTTGCAAATAAGTCTTTAGAACTTTTCTTTCGTTGCATATCATGTAATAAATGCGAAAATAATTTTTTTTAAAATCACTTATATCCGCTGTATATTAATTTTTGTAATTACAAAATCGCATTCGTTGATCATCACAAGAAAAGAAAGGAAATAATTACATTATCGTCTTTTGTCAATATTGATTTGCAATTATTTTTTATAGAATATTTTTTTTCGAAATGCTAACCACAAGTAGATCTTTGCCTTGACAATTACAATAGGAATATTTTAAGTACAATAATAGCAATATTAATATTGTTTCTTAATGCCTTCTGAGAAATGATTGTAATCTACAAAAAGCTCACATTTCATCTTACTACATTCCTATAATCCGCTATTACTTTATGTTCATAATTTTGAAGGTTTTTCTGAAAGATATTTCGTAATCGCTTAAGCTGTATTTAAGATAAGGCAAAAATAGATGCAAGAAAAAGGAGTTAAATAAAAAAAATTTCATGAATTATTCATATCAGGTGCAGGAGCATGTAAAAATTAAAGGAGCATATAAAAAAAAAAGCAAAAGTGGTTGCGATTCTCTGTTCTAAGATGCCCTGGGCTTTTATCGATAGTACTTATAATGTATCTCTAAAAATATTTAATTGTTATTTAAATAATGCAATATAAAGTTGAATCCTGTTTCGGTAGGAAAATCATCTCGCCGCAGATTGAATCGGTACTATCAATATGTAAGAATAGTTTACTTTGCCTTAGTTTCCGGCCATAAAAAATATAATTTATAAGTTGTTCGATTAATAATTCCATTGAAAAAATTATGGGACTTTTAAGAGGGACAAAAAATAAATAAAATTTTCTATTAAATTATGCGTTTTAGCTTTATTTTTTAAATTTATTTTTTATTTTTTCTCTTTAACTCTTTCTGCCCTGTGGGCACTAAGAGGGCCTTTTTTAGCAAGCCCATTATGGGTTCGGCCACGCACACAATGGGGCGAGGGACGAACTTTATTTTATTAATTACAAGTTTTATTTTAATTAAAACAAAATGCATATTAAAACTGAAAATAAATACTTTAAAGCTATCATTATAAATTAAGTATTAATTGAATTATTTTTATTCACAATATTGAATTTTTTAATAAGATTTTATATTTTTTTATATTATAGATTCTTATATTAAATCCATTTTTTTTCCATTAATGTAGGGTGGCAACATTTAAAAATTTAGAAGTGTTAAATCAATTATTTTAAATTTAAAAAAATGCAATTTTATTAATTGTAATTTATTATTCATTAAAAATTAATTTTAACTCTTCTGAAAATGCAGAATCATCGATAAATCTAATGTAAAAAATTTGTTAGAAAATTAATAGATTTCAAGATGGTCGCCTCCAATGGAGGAAGGAGTTTGTTAGCTTTGACGAAAAATGTTTCCACCTTCATTCGCCCTTTTGAATTTCGAGTAAGCTCAATGATAATAACCTAATTTGTGATTATTGCACGAATAAAAATTGAAACGTTAAGATGTTTAAATTTTATTAATTTACTTTCCCCATACGTAATGTAAAAATATCACTTTATTCATATTACAACAATTTTTATAAGCAATATTGAACCAAAATGCATTATAAATTATATAATTTAAGGAAATACATTAATACAATTACCTTCTCAGTCAAAGTTTGACTAATTTTATTAAGAAATGTAGAAACTTTACAAATACTTTAATTAAAAGTAATAAATTATAGTTTAGTTTTGTTTTCTGTGCTTTTTTAGATCGTGATTATGACTGAGAATACACAAATACAGCATTAAATTAGTTATTGTTATTAAAATATTCATGTTGCGATTACTCAAATTGCATTTCATATTGTATTTATATTTTGTTTAGCATTATTTTTGTCTTTTATTTCATTTAATTATTTACACTCTTATAAGATTCTTGTGCAATTTATCTTAATAGGATCTTGTGCTAAAATACCAGCTGACATTCATAATTTGTCATGATAAAAAGTTATAAAAATGAAAACATTTTTGTAAGAATAAGATATTTTGTTTGTTTGTTACTCCCTGTAACAATTTTCAATTTAACTAAACATTAAAAGATTTTTAAAAAATAATTTTTATTTAATAAATTCATTTCTTTTTTGTATGCATAATGCTTTTATAGTAAACTAGCTGCAAGTACCTGCTTTGCTGGGTTTTATTTGTTTGTACATTTATATATAATATAGTTTTTTTTTTTTATATATATATAAAAGACTGTTTCTCTTCCTCTACATAATCTTTCTCTGATTTGATGTGTTTCCCTATAATTTTCAAGTTGCTCTTCTGTCTGATTATTTCTGTTTCATTGATAATTTTCTCATAGTAATGTTTAGATGTACTTCTCTTTCTTCTGTGGTTTCATTTCTCCATGCCATCTTTTGCTTTTACGATATGATTCGAAACTATGAAAATTCTTTCTTACGCTTTGGCATTGTTTTTTATATTTGTACTTTTCACACTTCATTATTCACTTTTCACTTTCTACTTTTTTCTGTTATTCGTACACTTTTACTTATGAAAAATCAACTAAAGCATGTGCATCGCTCTTCGCCAAATGCCATCCCCACTACTCACACATAACTGTCCTCGACTATTCCAAAACATTTTTGAACCTTCTGGCCCAGTTCATTCTAGAACATACTGAATAAATAAAAATATTGTAGAACATTTTAATTAAAATATTTTTTCATATAATAATTCAATAAAAACTGATAAAATAAAATTATTTGTACATAAAAAGTTATTCAGAATACGATTGGTAAATAAAAATAAAAAAAAAAAAATTAAAAAATTAAAAGCTATCAAGATGCAACCACCATAGTGCACGATGGGAGACTTGGGGCTACTACCACACATACACACCATTCATGTGCGATGTGCAGTTTTGGCTGCAGAGTGAAATATAGGCACAAACATGTCCATTTATATATATATATATATATATATGTTAGAATTTTTTTCAAATGATGAATATTACATAAAATATTTTGGTGTGTGATTCAGTATTCTAGGAAGTGATATTTTATGCATGCATTATGTAAAGTTGAGAATCTAGCATAAAAAAATCAAGTTACAATATACTTTATTTCAGAAGCTAAACTCAGGTCTCTGATGTATAAAAACTACAAGTTACAAGCTCTTACAAGTTTTATAATACTTGTAGTTCACAGCAAGTATTTGCTGCTACTGATTATAAGTAACTGTATACAATCAAATTACTTATTATCAGTAGCTTATAACTTGTTATGAAACTTTTTATTCAACAAATTTTGCTTTTTAGATTAAAGCCAGATTGTATTGATAATCTGGCAATTGTTTGGCTTTAATTTAATAATTGGGTTTATGAATGTTTATATTTGTATACATTTTGTTTGTAATTTGTAACAACTCCAAGTGTTTTTTATGCAACAGAGCCTGGAATGTCTTTTCTACAGTTTAAACAAAAGTATTTGCAATAAACCTTGTTATTTTTCAGGTCATATTTTAATTTCAGTGATTTATGTTATATTTGTGATCAATATAGATTGTTTATTATAATTATGTAAATTTATTTTGCACAATAGCTAGTACTCAAGTGCAAGTGATCACCTCCCAAGTAATAAGAACAAAAACTCCCAAATTTAAAATTATAATAAAATAATAATTAAATAAATAAAGACCAATAAAAGTATAAAAATTAATATAAAAATGGTAAAATGTTTACATTTCTATCATATAAAATTATTTCCTAAAAGAAAATAATATATAATAGTAAAAAATAAAATAAATGTAAAAACTTGACACTGTCATTTGTGATTTAAAAAAATTGAAGTGAAGTATATCCTTGAGACTTTTTTTAATGGCTACAATTTATTTGTTTCAGTTTTTTATATCTAGAAAAAAGCACAGCTCAAATGTTTCAGTCTGTTGAATTCACATTTATTATGAATATTAGCACATAAGAAATATTAATTAAAGAAATTAGATATCTTGATTAATGTAGATTTGATCTATTGCTGTTTTTCATTTTCTTTTCTTATGTATTCTATAACTTGTAATCTTTATAAGTTGCCAACTTGGTTAACACAGTTAAAAATGCCTTCCCATAGTTTATATATAAAGTTACATAATAATAATTATTGTAATTTCTGATTGGTGCTAAATGAAGAAACCTAGGAAATTCAGATGAAAGAACTTTCAATTTTATGTAGTTTCAGTAAAAATTTCTACTAGTTATTGGTACTGATGACTTTTTATTAACTAGCTTATAGCAACAAGTTAAATTATACTTTTACTTCTGATAGAAAGGATTTCTGACATATATAACCAGCCAAATAAGTTGAATAAAACTTGAAAATAAAGTTTTCAAGTTTTATTCAAATTATTTGGCTGGTTTTTTTAATTTTCATTATTTTCTATTAGAAATTAATGCAAAAGATTTATAGTAATCTAATTAAAAATATTTATATAATAAAACTAGCAGATGAGCCCGGCGTTGCTCTGGCAAAAAATAACAACAGCAAATATTAGGATTATTAGATTATTTCATACTTTTAACATTTCTACTATATTATATTATAGTATTTGATTTATGTTTATTAAGGTTATCTTAGGTAAGATTTTATCACACCGTGTGCCCAATCTAGCACACTTAAAAATTATTTAAATTGTGTATAGTACAGGAATAAAGAATGAAAATATAGTTCACTTCACGCCAGCATTTAGAAATTAAAAATATGACACTTCCGTGTTGCGGCATTGTCAATAACGCCGCAACACGGAAGTGTCATATTTTTAATTTTAAGGAATAATGAATTTTTAAAATTTGTTAAATTGGTCATTTGGTGTGATAAACTCTTACGTNATATATATTGTAAAGAAATAGGAAAAGTATTTTGAAGTCATTGTAATGTAATATGTTGAAGAGATTAATATCACCTGTTACAGCTGATATTAATATTCTCTTTATAATATTAGTATAGATTTATATAGTATGGTTTATCATAATTTTGCACATTTAATAAATTTTAACTTCCATTTAATCTAAAAATCTATAAATGTATTAATTTGAAGTAAAATTTTAAGATTATTTCTGTTTTTCATGTAAGCCATACTGTCTTCATTCATTTCTTTAGTATAGAAAAAAATAGCTTAAGTCAATTGAGCGAATTAGCAAGCAAGCAATTTGTAGCGATTAATTTCACAAAATGCATTGCCACAGATGTTGCAAAAAATTATTTACATAACAAAAATTGTTTTTTTAAAAATGATTTTCAGATTAAAAAACAGTGAAAACAATAATAAAATTTTGATTGTGTTTTCATTAATATTTTGTCTTATATTACATAAAATGATTGAAGATTATATTTTCATATCCAATTAGCAAGCAAGCAATTTGTAGCGATTAATTTCACAAAATGCATTGCCACAGATGTTGCAAAAAATTATTTACATAACAAAAATTGTTTTTTTAAAAATGATTTTCAGATTAAAAAACAGTGAAAACAATAATAAAATTTTGATTGTGTTTTCATTAATATTTTGTCTTATATTACATAAAATGATTGAAGATTATATTTTCATATCCAATTCAAACTATCTATCTATATCAAATCATATATATATATANCAGGCGGGAAAAAATTCAGAGATGTGCATGACTGTCCCCTCCACAACTCCACCAAAGGAGGCCTCTCGCGCATCATTGGTTTACGCAGAAAAAAATAAGGTCCGATACTTTTTGAACAGACCTTGTATAAGTGACAAAATCCAAGAATATTATCATGATTATGAACTCATACATCATATTGAGGATGATTATTTATTATATTATTTAATTTTATCTTATACTTAAATCTGGGATGTTTTTTAAATCAATTTTAATTTTATAACCATAAAATTAAGATTGATTTCTATTGAATTTAAATTGATGACAAATATAGGATTATTTTATTGAGAAGGTTATTTTTCTGTTTATGAATTTTTTGTAATTAATTAGCATATTATCTTTACACAAACCATGTACTTAATAAAATGAAAATATTAAGTAGATTCAACTCTGATAGGCACATATTTGATTCTATATTTAAGTAGATATTAATAGCCTACATTGCAAAATGCTGGTTTATGATGATTAAATTAAGTAATAGAAACATATAAATAATATATGAATTGTAAATTTATGTTTCTCTGCTTTATTTAGTCCAATATACTTCTTTTGTAACTTATATCTATATAAAAGGGATAAATACACGTGAGAAGTAAAGTATAAAAGTTATCTTTAAATGCAGTGTTTTCCAATTTATGGGGTGCAAGGCTATTACAAGGAGATGTGCAGTTTTTACCAAATTACCATTTTTTTAATACAAACAAATAAAAGAAAAAGGTCAAATCGATGTCAAAAAAAATGAATCAGCAAAACTATAATGCCTAATTCACAACCTTTGTTCGAACAACTCAGGGTCAAATGCTAAAAATCCATCCATACTCTTCCCAAAATATCTTGACAAGAGTCGAGCCCCGGTGAACAATATACTGTATTTAATAAGGTATATTGTTTCGTAGGCCATTAATTAGATCATAAGGACAGTATTTATGAAATTAGATTGTTATGAAAATTGAGGGGGGGTGCAACACTTTTTTCTGAAAAAAGAGGGGTGGAGGTACAGAAAGTTTGGAAACCACTGTTTAAGATATTAAAACAGTTGATAATAGCAAACATAAGTGAATTAGATTGAAATGTGAATCTGTCAGATTATAATATATAGAATATCAGTCAGTGTACATATTGCAATAAATTTTATCAAAAACATATGAAGAGTGAATTATATGATGATTAATGCCTGATAACTTCACACTTCATATGAAAGAATATGATTACAACTCTTTTATATAAGCAAATATCATTAAATTAAAACTTCATTTTATAATTTTTTTAAAAGTTTTTCAAGTATTGATATAAATTAATATGTATTTGTAGAAAGCAAACGTATTACCACTTATTAAGGAGCAGCATCGAGCATTGACTGTATATCCAGTAAGTATGTGTTTATAATAATAGTTTAACATTGAAAATACTATTTATTTTTTCTGTAGAATAATTGTTAGAATACATAATTTTGATAGAAGTATTTCTTTTGTAAATTTTCATCCAATGGCAATTATATTATGAGTAAATTTCTGAAGACAAAGTCTGTTCAAAAGGGACCACCATTTATTTACTTTGTGTTCCAGACTACTTTTTAACTTTTGGCGACCAGTAGCCTAAAACGAAAGGTCAGATGCCAAGAAAGTGTGTAGTCTGGAACATGAAGTAAATAAATGTTCCAGACTACACTACTATTTATAAAGAAGCAATTTACAAAAATGAACAGATTATAAAAATAGAAATAATGGCTTGAGTGAAAAACCATAGGAATTGGATTTTATCATATAAATGTGTATAAGTATTATTAATGTACCATTGATTAAATATGGAAATATAATACTGTAGTTTTTGAAAATATATTTTGAAATATGAAAATATTGATTAAGTACAGTGAGAAATGCAGTTATATATTTTTTCAAAAACTATTTATTATTGAAATATTATTTAGATTTGTTTTATTGCAGTTGAATCTGAAATACAATGCTTTTTCAACAAATAATAAATCAAAAAGTTACAATAGACTCTTGCATTAAATCACTTGTTTTACAACTGCTGGTATCTGTTTGATGTGTGTGACACAGAATAAAATGTGTGAAATACTATTAAATACAATATATTTTTTTTTGAATGTGTGAATATATACTAAATCTGTTTTTATTGGGATGTAATTCTAATTTGTGACATATTGAGCTTAAATTTGAAATGGGAAAGCTTGCTTAATGTCTGTTTTTCAAGGAATCAAAAGATTATAAAAGCAAAGATCTACTATTCTCCTAAATATATACTATATATATTCATAGTTCTACAGAAATGATGTTATAAGAAAGAAAATTGTCATATTTTCCTCAGAACTTTTTCAACATGATTAGTTAACTATGTTTAAATTTTTCAAATGTTAATCTTTTTAATGTTAAAATAAACTTTAAAGGTTTTAAATTGCATTTATCAATAAAACAATGTTAATAGTTAATTAATTTATCGTGTCTATAATTATTATATTAATATATTAAGTCTGTCTTTAATTATTAAAGCCATATTTCAATTGTAGTATATAAATTATCAATTCTACAGACAATTTATAAACTAGAATTAAAAACAGATTTGTAAAGTAAATTATTTAATTAGAATTCATAATTTCAATTATAATTTATACTTTAATTTCATAATAATCATTTAAAAAAATATGTTCAGTATTAATTTCTTTAATAGTAAATAAATTAAAGAAATAAAGTGAAATGTTTGTGATAAAGGTTTATAAGAATTTGTTAAAACCTAAAATAAACAATATTTGATATTTATATATTTTATTAACTTATTAATTCCTTTGAAATTAAAAGTAAACAATGCTAAATATATTTTCCTTTTATTAAATATTAAAAATAATAGTCTAAACAATATTCTCGATCAGGCTAGTCAGTTAAAAGCAAAATATGGAGGTCGATTTATGGTTTCGATGCTTCCTGGAGATGGCATTGGACCTGAAATGATGGATTATGTGAAGCAAGTGTGCAGGTTTGTAAACTTATGTAAATATATATTTTTAAATTATAATATTATAAATTTTTTGTTTAATTGTTACTTGAAGTGTGCCATAATGTTGTAAATACCAAAAGTGCCATAATGCCATAATGTTGTAAATGCCAAAAAAACAAACTTTTCAGGAGAGGTAAAAATCACTTCTTTTAATGAATGAATTCATTTCAATTTTACAATAAAATGGTAAAAAACTCACTAGGTTACAAATTCTGTGGAATATCAAAATGACGTAAATATAAGCTGTAATGTTTTAAGTGTCAAAAGTGACGTGACTTGCACTCTGGCACTTTAAATGTTATATCTTCACATAAATTCATCTTCAAAATACAACCACTTAAAATGCCAATATCGCCACAATATTTTTTTGTGTCAGAAAACATTGTATTTAGAATACAATTCTTCAATTAACACATATTTAGAGAAAAATGGCATTTACAATGTTATGGCATTGCATGCTTCACTTGTTCTCCTGAAGGATTCTTTAGTGATAAGCATAATTCTTTGGTATTGCACTATATGCTATATCGTATAAACATCAACTTAATTGAGGATTATACAATGAGTTTTTTACAGTGGTCAATAATGCTCTTTTTAGGCTTATTATAAAAGGTTTTTCTTTTTAATCAACTTTTTAATTTATTTAACATTTACTTTATACAGTTTATCAATACAAAATTTATTTATCCAATAGTCACTAATATAATGTATTAAAAAAAAAAAAACAGTCAAAGATCTGTAATAAAGGACTAATGAGGAGCAGAAGGCTAAAAATGCATTTCCTGGTAAAATAGTTTGCGTAGTCATTGCATAGTCAATTACTGGTGTGTTCCTTGTGTGATTAGTTCCCTTCAGCAAAATTTATGCTTATCACTAATGTATAATGTTATAAATTCTAGTTATTATGTACAGTACATATAGATGTAAATGTTTTTGTATAATTTAATACATAAGCAGTGTAATTTTCTTATGAAATGTATTAATTTATTAATTATAGTCTCTTTGACTAAAAGCAAAAAAAATGAAGTAGTATTCATAAGCTTTATTTAATTAAATAAGTATTTATAAGTAGAATGTTATTTTTTTTGCATTATTGATAGATTGTTAAATGCTTTTTGTAATTTTGTTGTACAGTACCTCATGGCAGATTGTACTGTTGTACAGTACCTCATGGCTACCTCATAGCTTCTTAGACTAGAGTGAATAGCTACAATTTACAAACATGTAGAATATTCTTCACTAGGATTTAAATAGAGACATTTTTCAAACTTTCTAGTCATTTTAAGAGTTTATTATTTTTTTAAAATATTATTTCATAGTTAAGATAAAATCTCTATTTTAAAGTCTCTCATTTTATGCTTTCCTACTTTTACCAATGTTTTAAATATTCTATTATTATTTATTAAATGTTATATTTAATTGCTGTATTTTTTTATTAATTATATTTCCTTTAGTTTAGACAAAGAATGATGTAAAATTCATAAATTTTGTAATATCAGTGCGTTGCAAGTCAAATTATATTTCTAGAAATGAAATTTTGCTTTATGATGCTAAATTTACAGGAAATCAGTTTGATTATTGATAGCTCTTTAGTGATAGTTTTTCAGGAACAAATTATACAAATTTGAGCTCTTATTGAAGATTCCATTATGGGATCGAAATTTGTCTGTTGATCTTGCTTGTACATGTTGAAAGTTTGAAGACAGTTGATTTTTGATTTAAATTATCAGAGATTTTTTAATGTTTTATATATTTATATAAATAAAAATATTTATGCAATAACTAATTAGATATATGTATTGATTATAGAGCAGGAAATGTTCCAGTAGATTTTGAGGTAGTGAATTTAGATTCAACCAAGGAACATGTAGATCTGTTAGCTGAAGCTATTACATCAATCAAAAGAAATGGAGTTGCAATTAAAGGTATATATCATTAAAAACTTAATTTATATATTATCAGCTTTCCTAAAATTTTACTATCAAAATCTTAAAAGTTTAGGCAAGTTTAGATTATAAAACATTTCTCTTCTTTTGAGATTTTTCACACAAAATTTAATATCAGTATTCAAATAATATTTTTCCTTTTTGGAAATTTTGAAATTGTAATTGGAAATTTGAACATTCTTTTAGACAAAATGGAATAATTATTTCATTGGTGGAAAGTGCAGACATCAACAATGACATAAGATATTTCTGAAAGATAAGACAAAGTTATAGGTGTACTTCAAAGATGGACTTTCATGTTTTAGAGAATGTGTCTGTATCTCTGTAATTTATTGCAGTGTTCTGAAAAGTAGCTTTGTAAATTTTGAATTTCTTCAGATAATATTGTAATTATTCCATTTTTTATAAAGTGATGTTCATATTTTCATACATATGATAGACTGCTATTTTAATCTGAAGGTGACTATTTAAAAATTATTGAAAACATTTGTTTTTGTTATTATTTAGTAAATTGCTGGATATTACTATTATTTTTTGTTATTTATAATTAAATCCAATTTTTTAAGTAGTGAATAGTTTTTAGAAAGATCCATTCAAAAATTAATTTATGATTTATTTAAAGAAGTTAATTATGTTTTTTTTAATTATGATTGCTTACATATCATATCTAAAGTAAACAGCAAAGACAGTTGAAAAAAATAATCATTTTTAATTTATTTGTTTAAACTTTTAAGAATGTTAGTTAAAATTTTTATATTAACAAATCCTTGTTTTTTAAAGTTTATTAAAACAAAAAAAGAATTAAGTTTACAAAATGCTGAATTATTTATTTTGTAACACACTATTGCTAATTACAGTAATTACTTTTACAATTATGCATAGCATGAGTTAATTTACTCTCTTTCAATGTTGTATCCTTATCTTGAATTGATAATCCTTCCTGTAGGATTGTCATCTGTTTTGTCTCAAAACATGAGAGACCAGGAGGGGGATCAAAAATAGTTGGAATTGATTGAGCAGAACAACAAAGTTATTTATAATTGGACCAGAGGAGGAGATAAGAACTAGGACAATGAGAAAAAGAGATAAAAACTAAAAAAAAGAATGAATAACAAACTAAAACATCATTACTATGTTAAGGTCTAATAACATCTGCCAATTAGATTGCTAATTAGATTTACCTGAATGATAAGCTATTCAGGAAATCCCTTAACAAATGCATTGAAAAGTTATATTTAAATGTCAAAATATGTGTATATATAAAGTCCACTAATCTGAAGAATAAAATAAATATAATTGTTATTGTATTTGTTAATTTTTGTGGTAATTTTTAAAATGATAACTTATGTTAAAATAAAAGATTATTATTTTAATTTTAAATTATTTTGTTAAAAATATTATTATTATTTTTAATTTTAGGGAACATAGAAACAAGAGAACATAGTAAATTATTTAAATCAAGAAATGTTGAACTAAGGTAAATACATAGAATATTTAAGTTATTTTATTAAATTTAATATATTTTTTTTAATATTAAAACTATTTAAATGATTTTAAAAAAATATTATTTTGACATATATGAAGATAATGAGATTAATTTGAAAATGTTTTAAAAATTTAATTATTTTAGATCAAAACATATAGTTGATTTAATTTAAAAATTTTAATGATATTTTTAATTGAATTATAATGAAAATTTTTGTAATATTTTCATTATTAATTTTATTATTGATATTAACAATAATATTTAAAATATACATTAACACATTTATGATGTTTGATCAAAAAATATGAAGACTTTATTAATAAAACAAAAATATATCTTTCAACTATTTAAACATTATCGCCCTCAAAATAAGACCCTCCTGCTGCAATGCACTTCTGGAATCACTTTTTCAGTTCTGAAAAGCTGCCATATATGTTGACTGTGGAATGTATCTGAATTCATTTCAGAAATTCATAATAATTTTTCTCTCAAGTCTTAAAATGTCGACCTTTTAATGCTCATGAAGTTGTGGAAAAGAAGTCTGTTGGTGACAAATCCAGAGAGTAAGATGATGAGATATAGATGATTGATCATATAGGGATTGCCATGTATTAAATAATTATTGTTTATATTTAAAATTAATGCAATGGCCCTTTATTTCAGATGTAAATATCTCCAAAGCTTCAGGTATCATGATGGAGTTGCAATGTTTTGATCTCTTGATGATGGAATTAAATCTCACTGGAATTCAATTAAGGCTTTTTGATAGATGTGTTTATTAAAGTTTTAATGCAGTGACGAATGTTTTTAAAATGTGAAATAAATTTTTAAAAACTTTTTAATAAAATATAAAAATCAAACAAGTTCAAGATAAGAAACAAAACATTAACATTACTATGTTAAGACCTATAAATGTGAAGAATATAATTTACATTTGCCCTGTCTCATTGCTTCCTTTGTGGGTTATTGTAAAAAAGTATCATGCTAAAGTTAATGATTCAGCTTTCTTGAAATTGATCCTTGTATCAAGTCCATTTTAACATTAATTTTCTTTTCTCANCATTTATGATGTTTGATCAAAAAATATGAAGACTTTATTAATAAAACAAAAATATATCTTTCAACTATTTAAACATTATCGCCCTCAAAATAAGACCCTCCTGCTGCAATGCACTTCTGGAATCACTTTTTCAGTTCTGAAAAGCTGCCATATATGTTGACTGTGGAATGTATCTGAATTCATTTCAGAAATTCATAATAATTTTTCTCTCAAGTCTTAAAATGTCGACCTTTTAATGCTCATGAAGTTGTGGAAAAGAAGTCTGTTGGTGACAAATCCAGAGAGTAAGATGATGAGATATAGATGATTGATCATATAGGGATTGCCATGTATTAAATAATTATTGTTTATATTTAAAATTAATGCAATGGCCCTTTATTTCAGATGTAAATATCTCCAAAGCTTCAGGTATCATGATGGAGTTGCAATGTTTTGATCTCTTGATGATGGAATTAAATCTCACTGGAATTCAATTAAGGCTTTTTGATAGATGTGTTTATTAAAGTTTTAATGCAGTGACGAATGTTTTTAAAATGTGAAATAAATTTTTAAAAACTTTTTAATAAAATATAAAAATCAAACAAGTTCAAGATAAGAAACAAAACATTAACATTACTATGTTAAGACCTATAAATGTGAAGAATATAATTTACATTTGCCCTGTCTCATTGCTTCCTTTGTGGGTTATTGTAAAAAAGTATCATGCTAAAGTTAATGATTCAGCTTTCTTGAAATTGATCCTTGTATCAAGTCCATTTTAACATTAATTTTCTTTTCTCAGTTTCTCACATTTATTTCATTTTTTAAACTTTTAGTTGATTTTATATATATTAAGAATCTTGTATACATCAAAAACTATATTTTTATTTGGAACAACTTTACTACATTATAACAAGGTTTATTATTTCTTGACCATCATTATTTCCAAAATGATGTGTGATTAAGTTTATTGTTTCCACACTGCAGATTGTAATTATTTAAAGAAAACTTACAATAGAAAAAAAATGGCAAATAGAGTTATGTACATTAGAAACTTGTCAGCAAGTTTTAAGTAAAATATTTATAGTATTAAGTGATACGTTTGAATATCCCTCTTTTATATTAAATTTGTTTGGATAAAAAAAGCAACTATTTCAAATTTTCTAATGATTATTAATCTTTCAGATTACAGTTAGATCTGTTTGTTAACATCCTTCATTGCAAAAGTCAACCTGGAATAAAGACACGTCATAACAACATTGATATTGTTTTGATAAGACAAAATACTGAAGGAGAATATAGTTGTATGGAACATGAGGTAAATAAGTAATTCTAATATTAATTTATGTTTTGTAAATATAGGATTTAAATTAATATTTAATTATCGATGCTTTTCAATAAGCTTATTTTCAAAAACTATAATATTGCTTTACAGAATTTTTGACAAATCCTGTAGAAAAATTTAGAAAATACAGTTTTTATTATAAATTTTATAATATTTAGGGTGATTCATTTTAATAAATTCACTGGAATAACTCAAAAAATATGTATCCTGCAAAAAAATTTGTTAAACTAAATATGTTAGACTTGATAGCCAGAAGATGACATTGTTGGAAGCCAGAAGATGACATTGTTGGTTTCATCATAGATAGTGCTACAATTGGTGAAAACAAGGTTAATCCCATTTTCTTAAATAGGAATTCTCATTTTTAATCAACACATCCACACAGTAAGTGGGAGTTACAAGCCCTGCTCTAGGATGATTCTTTTCTTCCAGAAAATTCTAAATTTATTATAATTATTAAATCTGGTATGAAATGGCAGCATAACTGCCTATCTTTAAACAAATTATTTAAATTAATTACATAGCTATATTACAACCTGATAATTCATCAGATATTTGATTTTTTTATTTTAATTAAACTTTTAGCAGAATGCTTAATTATCGTAGTCCTCTTGCCTCTCACAGTTTTCTCTTATTGCAGATGATGTTCAAAGACATTTTCATTTTCCTGAATGTGTTAGGCAATTCTCTTAAAATGTTTCACAGTTTTTAGTGTCATGTTCCATAGTATGTTTGTTACAAGCAGTTTGAATTCTCCTAGAATCTTCTCTAGTTATTGGTTCCTGCTCATAGAGAGCATTCTTTAAATATTCTCACAAAATAAAAGTCAGGCAAAGTCAAGCCTGATGACTGTTTCATCATGTTCCACAACATTTTTCTTTCTTTTCAGTGCGTATTTTAGAAAATTGTTTTGTTTGTTTTTTATATAGAATCATAATATTCAATATAAATGAAATTCAGTTCATTTTTATTGGTTGTAGCACTATGACAAAACTAATAATGTCATTTTGTGTCCTTGAAATGTAATATTTTTAATTTAACAAATTTTTCAGGATGCATATTTTTTGAGTTATTCCAGTAGATTGATTAAAATGAAGCAATCTGTCTATATACTGTATGTGTATTTGTGAATGAACACTTATAAAGTTTGTGTATATTCATATAAATAATTATGAAAGAATATTTTCTATCATACGTTAGAAGTAATTATTAATTCTAATTAGAAAAAGTTAAAATATACTTTTAAATTTCAAGTTCAAACCCAAATATCCAACTAAAAGAAATAGAATTGCAGTTAAATAAGTTAGTCAGTTATCCAAATAATTTAATTGCATATCTTTAATAACTAAAAGTATCAGGTCAGTCCATAAGTTCATGCTATTTTATGACCTTGAGAAAAATCGTGTTTTGCTGTTAAAATTGTCAGTCTAATGTGATACTTTTTACACTGAAGTGTTAAATTGGATCTCATTCATATAATACTGTTCAGAATTGGGAACATTTCAGTTGTTTATTTTCGTTAAAATGGAAGTAACAGACGAATATAAGAGACATGTTTTATACTTTTTATTTTTAAGTGATGAGAAAGCTACAAATGCAGCCAAAAAATTAAATAATGTTCATAATCAAACTGTAATTAGTGTAAGGACTGCGCAGAAGTGGTTTGAAAGATTTAGAAATAATGATTTTAGTGTGGAGGATAAGGCTCGTACTGGAAGACCCGTTGACTTTGATGATGATGCTCTCTCTGCACTAGTTGAAGCAGAACCATCTTTAACAGTTGATGAAATTGCAGAATGTTTAAATTCATCTCATGGAACTGTTCACAGACATCTACAACAAATCGGAAAAGTTTCAAAGCTAGGAAAATGGATACCACATGAACTGTCAATAGCTAACCGACAACAACGTGTAAACATTTGCACATCTCTTTTATCCTGCATTACTTTAGAACCTTTCTTGATCGGCTGGTTACTGGAGACGAAAAATGGATCCTCTATAATAATGTGACAAGAAAAAGACAATGGACAGATCGCAACAAGAAGCCAAAACTGGCTGCAAAAGGTGGGTTGCATCCAAAAAAAATTCTTTTGTCTGTTTGGTGGGATGTGTCAAGTGTAATTCACTTTGAGCTGTTAGAACCTAATCAAACAATTACAGCTCAAATGTATTGTGATCAATTAGAGTGTTTAAATGAAAAAAATCGACCATCATTAGTGAACAGAAAGCAGGTTCTCTTGCAACATGACAATGCCAGACCACATGCTGCAAAAATAACTGTAGAGAAACTCAAAAGCTTCAACTGGGAAATTTTACCTCATCCATCATATTTTCCAGATATTGCTCCCAGTGATTATTATCTTTTTTGCAGTTTGCAGAATTTTTTAAAAGGGAAAACTTTTGAGGATGAGAACAATGTAAAAAGGGCCTATTTCTGAATATTTTGATTCAAAACCGAAATCATTTTATGAAGACGGGATTAAAAAGCTACCATCAAGATGGCAACAAAATAATGGTGAATACATTATAGATTGAAATAAAATTTAATTAAAATTTTTTGTTGCTTTTTTTGTAGATAAAAATACACACGAACTTATGGACTGACCTGATAGAAAAATTTAGTGTAGTTTAGGGTGCCTATTAATTATCTTTACAACTTCAGACATTGGTACAGAAATCAGGAATTGAAATATTTTCACACAGTTCTTGTAAGTGAAATATAAACTCTTTTTTCTTTAAAAGTTGAACAATGACTCCATTGACAAAGTTTACATTGAGCTCTGTGCGTGTTTGTGTGCTCCATCATACTGGAATATGACAATGATCAAAAATTGGAGATCTTGCAGATGAGATAACATAAAGATTTCCAGCATGTTCAGGTAAAAGCTTACATGAAAACATTAACTCTAATTGTTTTTCAATGAAGAAAATGAGATCAGTGATTCAACTTTACATCAGTGCACACTATGCATTTACCTTTGGGTTGTCTTAACTTTTTTTACAAAAATCTCAACATCAATCACAAATACACATGTAAGCAAAGAAAAATATTTGTATAAAAACTTTAAGAGTATATTGCACATGCAAAAAACTATGTGAAAATATTTCTATTTCCAATTTTTGAACTTTGTTGAAAGTTTGTTTAAAGTTTTAATGTTTGTTATTGAATAGAAATAAGAATTTTATCATCTTCCATTGTATTAAAATGTTTGTATATATATTGAATAAATATGACATTATTAAATTATTATTGCTTATAATAATAATTATTTATTATTATTTTTTTTAACTTTAATTATCAAAGAATGTTTCTGGAGTTGTGGAAAGTTTAAAAATTATAACCAGGAAAAGATCAGAAGAAATTGCTCATTATGCATTTGATTTTGCTCGCAAACATGATAGGAAAAAAGTAACAGCTGTCCATAAAGCTAACATTATGTATGTATATTTTGTTATATACATATATTGTGATTCATGATAATACTGTACTTTTATAAAATTTTATTATATATATATTTATATAAAAATTCTTAATGATTTCATTTAATTTTTTCTACAATTTCAGGAAATTGTCAGATGGTTTATTTCTAAAATGCTGCCATGAAATAGCTCGAGAATATCCAGAAATTAAATTTAATAACATGATCATTGATAATTGTAGTATGCAGGTAATTTATTTTAAATATAATTATAACAACAGTAGACTTACTGTTGTTGTATTTAATAATTTCAAAGAAATTTATATTTTGCTGATATATGTGTGTTATTTTTATTATAACAATATAATTAAATAGTTTAATATAATGAATTAACTAGAAGTAATGTAATAACGTTTATGATTTTATGCATACGGTAAACGATCACCAACTTGAACTTTGAATAATTTGGACAAATATTTTTGAAAAATTATACAGTAATTTAAAATTTTTTCACAATATAAAAATTATAATTAATGAGTAATTATAATTGTAACAAAGTTATAATTAGCAAATGTTTTTGATATCCGGAAGTTTTTACAATATTGTGCATTATATTACTGTAGTTGATAAGTTACTAAAGACTGTACATTGTTTAATACTGTACTGTCATGAAATTTTTTGAGCTCATTTCCTGAAATAACAAATTCAGCAGCATAACATACTAAAACTCAAAAAGTTTTTGTATAGAGCTGATCATAATAAATTACTGTACTGCGTATTCACCTTTTTGTTTTCCACATCATCAAAGAAAACACCCCACTAATTCTGATTTTCATAAATTTGGACAATCATCACCTCTTATTTGTCTGAGTTAGTGGAAGCTTACTGTATATGTTTATAAAAGGTATGATATAAAAAACCAAAAGAATATGTTTATGGCGTTAATTTATTATCAGCACATATTGTATTTTTGAATCATAAATGGTAAGAGTTTTTAGAAATGTCAACTTTATTACTAAAAAATTTTTTAAAAATTGAATCTTCATTCTTTGTTTGGATGTTTTTGAAATAAACAAGTTTATAATATATATACAAAATGTATTTAAAAATGTATGTGTTACCGGCAAAGTTTGAAATCCGGCATTCTATAGAATGCCTAGGCATTGTATATAATGCCTAAAACTAGCCTGCAATCTATGAAACGATTTATATTTTACAGATTTTCTAGGCATTCTATAGACTGCCAAATGAGAAACCGGCAAAGTATGAAATACATCTCCGTTTCGTTTCAAATATCACGTGGCAAGGCACGTGACTTTTAACGAGCGGCTCAGGCTTAGAATTTGTCAGTTGCACTTTGCGGTTTGTTCGGGAGTGTCAAAATACGCAATTTTACTTAAATTTGTTCAACAAAAAATTAGTTTTTTACTGTGGTCCATGAAAATGGAGGAGCAAGCTGTAGTGTTGGAGAAGGTGTCATGGTCTATAGACATGAAACAACGATTCGACGATGAACTGTGCAAAATTCGAGTTAATGCTGCAAAAAACAGTATTTTCTTAACCGAAACTACTTACCAGAAGTTAATAAATGATGTACAAAAAGCCAAAATGACTACTAAGAAGGAACCCAGGGACTATTGGTTGCTGAATCGCTATGATGTGATGATTGTAGAAAACAAAAGTAAACTCATTTATCCTGTTAAAGAAGGCGTCAGTACTATACAGTATTACGTCACGGACTCAGAGTTATTTCACGTACTTCATGAAGCTCATTTGGCTATTGGACACGGAGGACGTGATAGAATGTTGAAAGAACTTTCAATCAAATACAAAAATGTTACACGTCATGATATTGAACTGTACATCCACCTTTGTGAACCTTGCCAGAAAAAACAGAAAGGTATTAAAAAGGGCATTGTTGTGAAACCTATGATTTTTTCCGAATTTAATTCCCGTTGTCAAGTAGATCTTATTGACTTTCAGTCTCAGCCAGATAGAGAATACAAATTTATTATGGTGTACCAAGATCATCTCACAAAATTTGTGATTCTTAAGTCTCTAACGTCGAAAAGAGCTGAAGAAGTAGCCTACAACCTAGTGGACATATTCTCGTTGCTTGGAGCGCCGTCTATATTACAGTCTGACAATGGTAGGGAATTTGCGAATAATGTGGTGACCAGCTTGAAGGAGTTTTGGCCAGCACTGAAGATCGTCCATGGGAAGCCTCGCCATTCACAAAGCCAGGGTAGTGTCGAAAGAGCTAATCAAGATATCGAAAATATGCTCTGTACTTGGATGCAGGACAACAAATCTGACCGCTGGAGTGAAGGACTACGTTTCGTTCAATTTATGAAAAATAGAGCTTATCATTCTGGGATCAAAAGAACACCATACGAAGCTCTTTTTGGCTGCAAACCTAAAGTAGGGCTTTCTTTTCTACCAGAATTAAAAGACATAAATACAGAGGAGCAGCTAGAAAAAGTAATAGAAAGCGTCAAAACAATGGAAAAAGGTGAAACTAATCAGATTACGCAAGATGAGATTATAGTCGTTAGTGGAGTAAACCAACACGATGAAGACATGCTTACTGAAGAGATTTCCGTTTCTGATACCTGTTGTGTGTGTTTAAAGGAAACAAGTGATGCACTTGCATGCAAAAAATGTCGTCAAAAAATTCATACCTTCTGTGGCCATGCTAGTAAAGATGATGAAATGGATATTTTGTGCACCCTTTGTTTCAAAACTGAAAATGCTATTGAAGGTAAAATAAATTCTAAAATCAATCTGGAAATACAAGCCAAAAAATGAAAATAAATTCGGAAAAAAAATTTCCCACTGCTTCTTTGGGAACTACTGTGCGAGTTCCTATTCCTGACGTCGACAAGGGGCGAGGTGATTCGCGCAATATATTGGCAATTGTAATGAGTGTGACAGAGGATGGTTTCTACCGACTTGGAACTTCTGAAGGAATTTTAAAACAAGTATATGCGAGATCACAATTCACTCCATGCCCCAAGAACTTGCTTAGAATTGAAGATATTCCTGACCATGAAATTCCTCTCCGGTCAGTTGCAATTGCTCAGTCCAGTGGAAGCGGCCAAGGATTCGTCAAATGTATGTGTAAAACAAAGTGCCAAAATATGAAATGTCTTTGCGTGAAAAATGTAATGAAATGTAATTCAAAATGTCATTCAAGCCTACCATGTTGCAACAAGTAGGTTAATTGTAATTTTTTATATGAAAATTTTGTTTCCCTTAATAAGAAAGGCATAAATTTTGTTTTGTACAACTTTCATTTTTCTTTACGTATTTTGAATAAATTTTTTTAATGGCACTCTCATTATTTTTTCAGAATAACATTTGTATTTTTGAGGAATGCACGTCATTTATATAATAGCCTTATCAGAACCTTTTTTCATACTTTGCCTAAATAGCATTTGTCATTCTATAGAATGCCTAGGTATTATATACAATGCCTAGGGAAAGTATGTAATAATTCTCATATTTCATAGATTGCCTAAAAACGCCAGGCATTATATACAATGCCTAGGTATTCTATAGAATGCCGGCTTTTCATACTTTGCCGGTAACATATGGACTAAAATCATACAAAATGACAACATACAAGAAAAAAGTTTGTGTTAACTTTCAAAACATATTCTTCATGAAACTAAGCACTTGTTATTATGATCACAAAGTTTTCTTATGCTCATGCAATAAGTTTTGGCAAATGCTTTGTTTAATTCCTTTGCTTTACAAAAGTATGAATGCTAAAAATATCCTTAAAAATTTTTTAAGTGTGAATTTCAGTTTATAAAAGAGAATTGGATATAGGTTTAAATAATGAATAGAATAGATGGTGTATAGTAATGTTATCAAAAACTACTATATAATTTAAGTGTGTTTATTATCTATGGGACAACATATAACAAGCAATTCATTTCAAAACATTAACAATACAATAATAATTGAACTTAATTATCATATAAAAATAAGCGTTTTTTTTATTGTTTTAAATCACAGTGCTAACATATTTAAAACAATAATACTTTATTATTTATAAAAAGTATGCCTTTAACTTTAAATATACCTTTGTTGTGTCATATTCAACAGTTAAAAATTTAATGTAGAATATGTTAAGAAAAAATGTTGTTCTCTATGTACTGATTAGGTTAGGCAAAAGGTAATTTATTATCTAAAAAAATTTTTGCTTTATAATTTTTATAATTTTAGTAGATTGATTGTAATCAATAGGTACTATTCTTATTCATACAATATTTGGGCAAATGAGAGATAACTTCAATTGTATCACAAGAGTTTGAATATTTTCAGTAGTAACACTTGCACAATGATAGACTTGTAGGAGTTAAATAAGAAGAGTCAAAGGAATCTCAAATGTATAGATTAAACCTAAAAGTGTATCCAATCATTATTAAATATACTGTTATGGAATGAAAATTTTTGCTTTAAGCACTACTTTCAAGGATTGTATATACTAGAGATATCTGTTTCTGAGAAGAGGGTAAACTTTGAAAGACAAGATGAGGGGCTAGGTACAAAGATATAGTCAAAGAATAAGATTTGTTTTGCTTCTGAATCATAGCAACAGACACTAAATCAATGTGAAATTTGCAACTTTTTTAAAAAGAATGTTGTTAAAATTGGGGATAAATTTTGTGGCATACAATATTAAAATCTCTATTAGATATTTGTTGAACAGTGATGTTTGATATCTTGATTATATACATTGTGTTTCATTTTTGCAAAGGTATGTAGAAGAAAGAGAAAATATCTCCCATGCAAAACTTCTTAAGAACTTAAAATTCCCTTCTGGTAGAGATTTGCAAAAATTTAACAAACTCCTTTCTTTAAATAGGTTTTTATAAAAATCATTTCAAGCAAAGTCTATTAATTCTAGTTGACTAATTAAGTTTTGATGATTAAACATGTTTGAGAAAACAAGCTACACAGGTCTGATAAGTATGCTTTGGAGGTCATACTTGGTCTGTGGGCTGTATGTTGGAGATCCCTGGTATATACTATGTTAACTAAGGATTATCTGAATATTCTAGAAAATTTTAATTTTTGGAAAAAAACTAGAAGTGTTTTTTTATAAAATTAAATTTTTTCAGGGAACCAGAAACACTGGAAAAAGAATTGCTGGAAAAAATATTGCCAATCCAGTAGCAATGTTAAATGCTGCAGCTGATATGTTAGAGTATTTACAGTAAGTTCTAAAATTATACAATCAAAAATTCTAAGTGTGTGAATATAATACATTATTTATATTTTATACAGGTTGAATAAACATTCTACAATTTTGAGAAATGCTATTGATAAGACAATAAATATTGATATGGTAAGATATTGTTTAAAAATTGTTTGAAAATTTATTTTATACATTCTGTAATAAATTGAAAAATTGCAACATATTTTCAGTAGTCCAAATATTAAAAAATTTTTTTTACTATTGAGTATATCATAGTAGTATTGATGAAAACAACATATACATCCTTCTGATACACTAATATTATCAAACAATCTGCTATATTGTTTATTGGGCTACATTAAAACTAATTAATAATCAGATACAAAACAATTTGGCTAGAAGTGTGGTTAAGCAAGCCATCATTTCAAAATAAATTTAATAATAATAAATTATCATGAAATGAGATGACTTAATTACCTACATGTTGCCAAATTGCTTTGTATTTGATTAATAATTACCTTTAATATAACCTGATAAATAATTTGCAGATTGTTTGGTAATATTGACATTANAATAAAAATGTATAATTCTAATGATGGATATTATATTTCAGTTGGTATCCAATCCTAATCAGTTTGATGTCCTATTGTTACCGAATCTCTATGGAAATATTTTAAATAATATTGCATGTGGTCTTGTAGGTGGTCCAGGAATAACTTCAGGAAAAAATTTTGGAAAGGAATATGCACTTTTTGAAACAGTAATTATTTCAACTTTAGTTTTCAAATTAAAAGTTCTTGAATTTTAAAAGTTGTAATATATTAATAAATATTATTACTCAAAGATTGCAAAGCCCGATATGTATATATAAACATAATCAAACAATCGCCTTAAGTAATTGGGCTATAACTCCACTAATTTAATGATTAATACTACAGTAAGTAATTTGCTACTAGAGGTAAATGTTAGGTGCCATCTCTTAATTAAATTAATAATTATAATTTTGATAATTTAGAACCATCTGGAAGAAAAGAACTGACCTGGGGCAGGGCTAGAACCTGCAACCTCCACTTTCCATGTGGTGCACTTGCCAGTTGCACCACCTGGACCCTGAGCAAGCCTTCCAGATGTATTTAAATTCAGTCATTACATGGTTAATCAGTTCTTTTCTTCCAGATGGTTCTAAATTATTTAATAAATTATTAAAATTATAATTATTAATTTAGTTAAGAAATTGGTGCCTTATGTCTACCTCCAGTAGCAAATTACTTAGTATTAATCATTAAATTAGTGTAGTTATAGCCCAATTATTTAAGGTGATTATTTGTTATGTTTCTATATTATTACTTATTTTTTAATTTACAAATAATCTTTAGTTAACCTATCAACAGTGGACTAGTCAGGTATGATTATACCACCAGTAGTGGAGAATAAACATGGAAAATTTTTAAAGTATTTTTCCGGATGTTTTTTCTCATTACTGTTTCAGAAAAAGATTTTGTAAACAGTTATGTCTAGTAAAGTAAAATCTTTTTTTATTGTTACATAATTCATTTTTTAAATAATTTTTTTTTGCAGTAGTTTTTGGCAATACCCCAAAAAGAATTTAACCGTCCTTCACCACTGCCACACGATTGCCCTGATATATCCATCCTTCACTGCTGAGTGGTTAAATTATCCTTGACAATTCAAAATATGAATGACAAGAGTTTGAATATTTTCAGTAGTAACACTTGCACAATGATAGACTTGTAGGAGTTAAATAAGAAGAGTCAAAGGAATCTCAAATGTATAGATTAAACCTAAAAGTGTATCCAATCATTATTAAATATACTGTTATGGAATGAAAATTTTTGCTTTAAGCACTACTTTCAAGGATTGTATATACTAGAGATATCTGTTTCTGAGAAGAGGGTAAACTTTGAAAGACAAGATGAGGGGCTAGGTACAAAGATATAGTCAAAGAATAAGATTTGTTTTGCTTCTGAATCATAGCAACAGACACTAAATCAATGTGAAATTTGCAACTTTTTTAAAAAGAATGTTGTTAAAATTGGGGATAAATTTTGTGGCATACAATATTAAAATCTCTATTAGATATTTGTTGAACAGTGATGTTTGATATCTTGATTATATACATTGTGTTTCATTTTTGCAAAGGTATGTAGAAGAAAGAGAAAATATCTCCCATGCAAAACTTCTTAAGAACTTAAAATTCCCTTCTGGTAGAGATTTGCAAAAATTTAACAAACTCCTTTCTTTAAATAGGTTTTTATAAAAATCATTTCAAGCAAAGTCTATTAATTCTAGTTGACTAATTAAGTTTTGATGATTAAACATGTTTGAGAAAACAAGCTACACAGGTCTGATAAGTATGCTTTGGAGGTCATACTTGGTCTGTGGGCTGTATGTTGGAGATCCCTGGTATATACTATGTTAACTAAGGATTATCTGAATATTCTAGAAAATTTTAATTTTTGGAAAAAAACTAGAAGTGTTTTTTTATAAAATTAAATTTTTTCAGGGAACCAGAAACACTGGAAAAAGAATTGCTGGAAAAAATATTGCCAATCCAGTAGCAATGTTAAATGCTGCAGCTGATATGTTAGAGTATTTACAGTAAGTTCTAAAATTATACAATCAAAAATTCTAAGTGTGTGAATATAATACATTATTTATATTTTATACAGGTTGAATAAACATTCTACAATTTTGAGAAATGCTATTGATAAGACAATAAATATTGATATGGTAAGATATTGTTTAAAAATTGTTTGAAAATTTATTTTATACATTCTGTAATAAATTGAAAAATTGCAACATATTTTCAGTAGTCCAAATATTAAAAAATTTTTTTTACTATTGAGTATATCATAGTAGTATTGATGAAAACAACATATACATCCTTCTGATACACTAATATTATCAAACAATCTGCTATATTGTTTATTGGGCTACATTAAAACTAATTAATAATCAGATACAAAACAATTTGGCTAGAAGTGTGGTTAAGCAAGCCATCATTTCAAAATAAATTTAATAATAATAAATTATCATGAAATGAGATGACTTAATTACCTACATGTTGCCAAATTGCTTTGTATTTGATTAATAATTACCTTTAATATAACCTGATAAATAATTTGCAGATTGTTTGGTAATATTGACATTAATGTATGTAGATCTGTTGTAAAAATGAATAAACCAAGTGTCAGCCCATGCTGTTTTGTTGTTCTAAAAAGTGAACTTTATAGTTAGATATCAGTTTGATGACTGCACAGAAAAGTGCTAAGCTATTGCTATGGGGATCCAAATTCATATTCAGTTTAAACTTTCTTAATTTATTTCTTTCGTTTAGTACAGAGTTGGGCATATTTCTCTATATTTTACCTTTACTAGCTGATCCCATTATGTAATCAGAAAATTTGCCTATAATTGACTCTATAGTCTTAATATGCTTGTTCCTTGTACTAAACAGCCACTAGTGACCAAGTGGATAAAATCACATCATCATTTGCAGGTTTGCACCTCACCAAAGGGCTGGCCACATGAAGTTTTCTGCATATTCTTCATATTTGTAACACCTAAATAGAAGCCAGTTTCCCACAGAAAATCCTCCCAAGAGATATTCTTCTTGGCAGATTGTCTGTGTTGAGTTGCCATATCCCATTAAAACCAAACCAAAGCAAACCTTGTATTAAACAATCCCTTAATTATAGTTTATGTAATAAATATATAAAAAAAGAAGACTTATAAAAAAGATAGTGGCATATTTCAGTAATAATTAATGTAATTAATCTTAATAAAGCCCAAAACAATCTGATGATTATGACTTATGTTTGAAAATTGATTTGGATTTTTTCTAAATCAAAAATATAGCATATTTTTGTACATATAGTTCATTTATTTCATAAAATAGTTAATTTTTCTTTTTATATTGATAAAGATCTATGTTTGTTATATTTATATTAGTAGTTTTTTAAAGTAATTTTGCAATATATATACAATAGAGCATCAATTATCCAAATACTGATCAACCGAAACATCGGTTAACCGTAAGCATTCCAGTCAGCAAATTCAAATATCTGCTAGTGCTGTGGTGCTGCAGCACTCTCCCCCTCCCTGCCAACCTAAACTGTAAGCTCACTTTAATTTACTATGTTATGTAAGGTATGTATTTGTAAGACGTGATACAAAATATATACAGTACAGTTTTGTGTTTAATATATTTTTTCATAAATGACCAGTTATCCAAAAAATTGGTTATCCAAATAACCCCAGTTCCAAATTGTTTCTGATAATCAATGCTCTACTGTAATGAATTTTTATTAACTTTGTTTAAATATATCAGAGTAAGGATAAAAAAAATTATTAATTTGATATTGCAATAAACTAAAGTACTTGTTTCACACTTCAACATTCAATACAATAAGACATGCAAAATTCATTTATTTATCTAATAGTAATACAAATTGTAGCACTTCCACCTTATCAGTTATTATGAAAATTGAAATTACATTAATTTATTGTAATCACATAAAATTGTTATTAAAAAATGAATTTTAATTTATTCAATTTGAATTTTTATGGTGCTAACTGATGAATGACAGGTTACCCAAAATTCATACTGTTATAAAAAATGAAGTATTGCAACTTATCTTATTATTAGATAAATAAATGATCAAGTCTTGTGTTGACAATTGTAATGCAGAATGAGTATTTTCAGTTTCTCAATGTAAAATTAAATTAGAAATACATGGCCATAGAGAGGAAAAAATTTTCTCATTATTTCAATGAGTATTTAAGAATAAGTTTTATCAGTGCTCATTACTTTTGAGATGATAAAAGTATTTTGGATGGCTTTACAAATTTATATAATATTTAAAATTTATATAAATTTATCAGTTCAGATAATTAATATAATGACTTTCTAGATTCAATATTATATATAATGAAGATAAAATTCCTACATATCTATTAAAGATGTTATTATAGTATCTTATAATTATTGTTGATATATGATAAGATAATGTTATAATATCTGTATTTACATTAATTTATAATGTTAAATATTAGAGAAATAATTTATATTTTCTTACTTATTTACTAGACATTACTTAGTTAAAATTATCAATATTAATATTTCTATCTTCTGAATTTATTTTTGATAATATTTTTACTTGAATTGTAATATATAAATTGAAAAACTTGTTAAATTCATTACACTACATATTGTTTTGAATTATTACACTACATAGTGTTTAAGCAACAAAGAAGACTTATAACATGGTTTTGGATTATCAAATTTGTTAAAGTTTTTCAGTAATGAAATACATTATTCATTTGCTCTTTTGAAGTAGTAACATTTAGAAAAGTGGATGAATGTCTTAAAGTTATAGCTATAATTTCAACTTAACTTACAAATTACTATAAAACTTATACTTTCTATATCTTTCACAACTATAAGATATGAAGATTCTGAATTGTACAGCATATAAATTAACTACAGACTTTAATGGCTTTATTTTTATTTAAAATAATTATATGAAACATTTAATACTGAAGCCAGGATGTGATTTAATCTGGATAAACTTTTCAGAACACCATGCTTCAGCTTCAGGTCTACACATCTACAGAATTTGAAGAATATACAAATTATACTTAAGGCTGATTGTAATCTTTTTGGTTATGTATGGGATCTACAGCTTATGGCCTTATAAGTGTAATACTTTTTGTATGAGAAAATTTTTAAAAACAGAAGCAGTTAGAACCAAACAGTTTTTGCATAAGAATATTATTTAATTTTTTTATTCAGCATTTTGAAACAAAATTCATTGATTTTTCTATGATTTTAAAAATTTGTACAAAATTAACAAATTCTATTATCAAAATTCTGGATAGTATGTTAATAGAATTAAATTGGATTTTAATAAAAAAAAAACTGTTTTATCTGCTTCCATTTTTGAGAAATTTTGGAAAAGACTTTTCCGATAGAAAAATCATTAAACTTTTAACACCAGCTGGAGATAATGTGCATAACTAAAGAGGTTACAATCAGCTTTAAGTTGAAAGTATACCTATTGCTTCACACATTTACCATTTTTTCTGATAGGAGTGATGCAAACCAACATTTCTAACTAGTATTATACATATTATCATACATCTAATGTAATAAAGTTACAGTGTTCTTACTGAAGACTGATTCACTTGCTCACTAACATTAAATATTTGAATAGAAGCAAACTTACAGAAAAATGAAATAGTGAAATTCAAGTGCCATCTGCCTATTTGTAATGTTTTTTTTTTTTTAGTACTTTGCTCAGCATTATTTTAAATAACAATTTTTTCTTTTGCTTTATTATCAGTTTATTGTTTTATTTGATTTTTAAATATTATTTACAGTTATTTAATTAATATTGTTTATATGAAAAATTATTTTAAATTGCAACAGATATAGAAAATACATTGTGAAGTGATATGAAATATTGGGATTAAACTGCTAATGGTGATCAGGAATAGAGCATCTACTACTGTATATACATAACTTAGTGGGTTATGTATTATATATAATACATACAGGGTGATTCAAAAGGTCTTAGACAAACTTTAAACATAGATCAGGAGTACAAAAACAAACCATTTTTACCTAGGAACATATAGCCTCAAATGCCATCCAGAGTTACTAGAAATACAGGAATAATCATGCTGAAATGAATACAAATAAGATAAACAACATTTTTATTGGAACACTCAAGTGACATTTGCAACTGTAAATTCCTAGATAAAACGGTTGTTTTTGTATTTCTGACTTACCTTTAAAGTTTGTCAAGACCTTTTGAATCTCCCTGTATATATTACAAATAATAACATTTATTTGCTTTTTTTTGGGATTATTAAATGAACAAAAGTAAACATAATCAAAAACCAATAGTTTTTATTTAAGAACTGCTTTTTTATATCCTAATTGAATTTTAGAATTAACCAAATCATTTTCATATTAAAAATATATACATTTTTGTACTTCTTAAATCTCTCAACTTGACGAATGTAGGCTGTATCATACAGGATGTGTGTTTAAAAGCATATGGCAAAATTAATTTATTTGAATTGTCATTGTAGAAGGTATTTTGGTCTAAATCCCTCTTCAGCTGTTGACAATTCCTTAAAACACTGATCCTGGGATGGAGTCACAATTATAGGTTTTATAAATTGAAATGTGATCTAAAAACTATGTAAAATATTCTAGAGTTCAAAAAACTTTTAAAAATTCAAAAACATTAAAACCTGATAAATAAAATCACATGAAATTATTGTAAATCTGCATAAATTAATTGAGTTAATAGATATTTATACTGTGTAAATAAAATAAAAATGGATAAAAGATAAAAATATTAAAAACATTTTTTTTCAAATTTAGGAATAAAATCAATAATAAAAATGAAAAAATACATATATTTTATTGTCATAGTGTAGAAAATCATGTAAACACATTTCTATTTTGATTTTGTAAATCAATTACTGACATTTATTATTTTTTTCTAAATTTAGTAAATCAATTCTAAATTCTAATTTTGAAGACAAAAAAAATATATTCAAAACTATTTATTGTAAAGTTTACCTTTATTTATAAGATATATATTATTGTTCTTATTAGATTCTCTGGATTTACACATTTCAAAGTCCAATTTAATTAAATATGATTTAAATTTAATCAAAATAAACAAAGAAGATAATGCATATCTGCATTAGTATAAACACATTAATAACCTTATAATAATAAAATATTTGTAAGAACAGAAAGTTTTGAGAAGTTTTGACAGTTTAAAAATATAATTAATTAATAATAATTAATAGTTGTTTTTATAAAAAATATCTAAGATCTGTAAAAGAAATAATTTTGTCTGATCAAATATTAAAATTTCTACTGGTTGAATTTAAAATGCTCTTAATAAATGAATAAATTTTAAAGAATTAGAGACAAAAAAATAAGAATTTTGTATAAGTTTTGAAATCAAATGATCTATTTAATATTAGGAATATTATAATATTACTATTTACTTATAAATGTTATGATTATTTACCAAGAACCAAACCTAGCTTGTAACTTATGTTCATAAAACTTGCTTTTTTGTGACTGATGACAAAATAATTTGTGGATGTAACTTGCACTCTATTTTCAATGTGATTTAGAAAATTATGTCGTCGTATTTCTATTTAGTTTTTATAAAATTAAATTGACTTCTTGATTTTATAATTTTTATAATTTTAGTAGATTGATTGTAATCAATAGGTACTATTCTTATTCATACAATATTTGGGCAAATGAGAGATAACTTCAATTGTATCAGCTATCTCACAGATCCATGGGAAATGTACTTTGTAAATATAAATTAGATTATCGTTAATAGATTTCAATACTAATTTACATCAATTAATTGTTATTGTTATTACTTAATAATAATTTACATTGCTTGATATTGTACATTGCATCATGGAAAATTTTAAAAAACACAATTTACATTCAAAAATAGTTTTTATTATAAAACAGACTTACATACAATGTTTTTAATTTTTGGATAAGATAATACAATTTTATGAAACACCGCATATCATTGGAAAGGGAACAGTGGTTAATGAATTTAAAGCTTGCTTTGTATCTCTGGAGATGTGTGTGCAAGCTTGTGCTGAAAACCAACATGCAAGTTCACTTACAGAGTGATTTATATGCTGGCTGTTTTGTTCAACAGCTGCACACACACTGTGGTGGCAAGTACCAATCGATCCAAAAAACTGGATTCATGGTATGACAGAAAGCTAGGTATCAGTTTGGAAACTTGATCTAGGAATTACAATTAAAAATGCAATATTAGCATAAAATAACCCTCAAAAACCTCTAGGTACATGTCCTGTACTTGCTTAAAGCTTAATGTTCATTAGTGCTTTAATATTAAATAATGTCATAATTCTTTAGTCAGATAGAAAGGCCATCCAGATTTTGGAAAGTTTGTTTGCATTTACTCATACCATCTTCAAATGCATTAAAAAAATAATCTTTATATTTATGGATTATAATATAAATATAGTTTTATTACTTAATTGATTTCTAAGGAGCTGTTATAAAATGAATCATCATATTTCATATTTATTCACCATCATAAGTTGTGAAGTTACATACCTAGACAGGTTCTGATTGAGATGAATTGAAACTCATGTAATAAAAGAAACATTAATTTATATTTTTGTACTTGATTTTTAGTTTTTACCCATTTTGCCCTGTGAATGCTAAGATGGCTATCAAATATTTTCCCAAAAGGCTAAATTTTGTGAAAGAATTTTGTGTGTGTTTGAGTCCTGAGTTATATATCTTTGTACTTCTCTCCCATCTCTCTCTGAACCTGTTTCTGGAAATAAAATTTAAACTTACAACAAGATCAAAATGACCAACAGACAGAATGTCAAGTAAATATGTCATTTCATGCATCATACTATCACAAAACTTATGTCACAACAACTAGAAGTTTTAAATAGAGGTATACTGTATTTAAAAAAATAATTTATTTAGTATTTAATATTATTCTATCTTCTTATTTTGTCCAATTTCATTAATAAAATTCAATGATGATAGATTTCTGCTGAAGGAATGTAAAATATTGTAACAAGAGTTGCTTTGAAATATAAATATCAATCTTTATTCAAAGTTAGAACCATAGTAATGGTTAGTTTCACTAAGCATACTGGTTCTCATGATCACTAATGTTAAACAGCAAGGTGCTAGATGATATGGTTGGAGATGACATAAAATAAGGGGCTATTGTTTATCCACTTTGTGGCTTTGGCTGGACCAAATCTGGATATCTGATCATAAAATGTAGCTAAATCTTGTTTCTCTCAATAGGGAACAGATATTAGTGATCCTGTGATTCAAAATTAGAACTGTTTCTCAATAAATAGTAACTAATTACAAACAGGAAAATTTTATATTGTTGTTAACATTGCTTCAGAATGAATTCAATAAACTGTTCTTAATTCAAGTAATTTTTAATTTCTTTAAATAAACTTATATTTTAAACAAAATAAAAATCTGTTTTTTTTTTTCAATATTAAAAATACCATACAATAAAACATTTTTAAAAATATGTTAATACAATATATAAAAAGCAAAATCAAAAATAAATGAAGAAAGAACAATAGTTTTATTGTGAGAGAATTTATTATACATTTTCTGTAAAATAATGAAATCAGCATCCTTTTAATGACTTTTCAACATCTGTAATGATGAAGTAGCCTAAAACCCATTTTTTGGGTATCTGTTAAATAGCTTACAGTGCAGCACTCTCAACTTTTTGTGATGACATAAAATAAAATCTCTTAAGATACTCCTTTAACATGGAGAAACAAAAATTTATTGGAGTCAGATGTGAGGAATAAGCAGCTCTGGGAGCACAGAAATCCTCTTTTGGCCAGTTACTATTGGACAACAGATACTTGATGCATGACATAGTACCAGTGCCGTCTTTAGGGCAGGGCCCCCAGGCTGTAGGGGACCCCTAATCCGAAAGTAATAAAGTTACAAATAAAAAATTGGTTCATTAAAATAAACAAATTATTAAAAATATCAAATACTTTATTTCTCCTATACGTAGTTAAAATGATCTTAAAACTAAGCAAACTTACAAAATTTTTGATACTTCTTATTCACCACACCTCAGCCGAAAACAGTACTTTCTTCTTGCTGCACGGAAAGAAAATTCCACTTCCTGGCTGAGGGAGGTGAAAAATCATACATACGCCACGAGAGGAAACAAATAATGCATCCCTAGGTCTGTAATATACTATTGTTTCTGTTTCATTAAAGGGGCCCCATCTTGGTCTTGGCCCAGGGCTTCTTACATTCTAAAGATGGCACTGCATAGTACAATATGTCTTGGGATTGTCAAATCTTGATTCAGATTGTCTATTGATTGCTGACAGCCTTATCTAATTTCCTCTTAAGTTTAGTAATTATATCCATGTTGTGTGCTGCTACTGATCTACTTGAATGTAAATCATGTCACCTTTTCCATATCTTTTTTCAATTTCTTTCTTTTATATAGTATTTTCATCATAAACCATTTGTAACTTATGTATCATTGAAAGATATTGAAAATTTACAGCAAAATTTAATGTTAATCTGTTGTTCCATTTTTAGTATTTCAAACTTTGGAAGCAGTCTCTATTTTTAGCAAGGTGGTATTCTTGTATATTGGTAAGCTTACTTAATGCACTTGTCAAAATATGTTATTACACATTAAGCTTTACTATATAATATGAAATAATCAGTCAAACTGCCATATGCCATTTTAGTTCCCCTTTTTTGTTTTTTTTTGCCTTTACCTTGTACATTTATTTCTTATTGAAATGATTGATAAATTAATTAATATGAGATATGAGAATATTAATTCTGGCTGTCACAGTTACATCCATTAGGAGCTGGTCTAACTTGCAATAGCAATCAGCCTGTAGAGATGACAGATGAGAAACAATGCTCTGACTCATACTATTTATGATAAATTGTGGGGATCTGGGTCATTTCATGGTGGTAAGCTGAACATTTTATCATGGCTTATCTGACCAATTTTATTGAAATAGTATTTTATTAATTATATATTGTAAATATAAGAAATAAAATTGAATGAATTAAATTTTGTTTAAGATGTGATCTTATTTTTGATTTGATCATAGAAAGTTAGCTTTGACTGTATATGAAATATAAATAAATAAGAAAATGTTAAATGTATTATCTGATTTTATAAGTTAATTTTTCAATAAAATTAAAATTTTTAACATTCAGAAATCTAAGGAATTACTGAACAGATTGAGTTAGAAAAAACTTTTTGAAGCTGTTTGGAACAATTCAGAGACATCCCTGATTCATTCAGTATATAAAATAAATATATATTAGCCTACATATTTATTTATTTAATTTTTATAAGTTAAATTTAAATTATAATGTTTATTCTCTGTTCTTAATTATCATCATCAATTTTGCATTGCTATAACTGGCACTTTCTATAATTAATAATGAACAAACTGTATTGCTTGAACTTGAAACTGGAGCAATGATGTTTGTTATACATTTAAGCTTTATTTATTTATTTTAAAACAAGTTATAATGTGTTTATTTACAGATTCATACTCCAGATTTAGGTGGAAGTTCCACGACACAAGAAGTGGTAGGGAATATCGTCAAAGAAGTCAAGTTGAATACCTCTCTGTGATGTAAATAAAAATCTTGTGCTTCCAATCAGATGCAACATACCATATTCTTCACTCACTCGATTTGTTAGAATGTTATTTATATTGTTGGAAAGATTTTTGAAATAGATAAGAAATTTTTTGACATATTTTAAGTATGGTTATTTTATAAGTAATCTTTATTTTTAATTAAAGATCACTTGAAAGATGAGCTAAGTGGACTGCTCCAAGCTTTTTGTTAAAAGAATAGAATTTTTTTGAGTCAAGAGATATTTATTTAATGAAAAAAGAATTATTTTTTAGAATATTGTGAGGTAGACAAAATAGTTTATCATTTAATATTTGACAATTGTAACGTGAATGGAAAATAACATTTTAATCGTTAATGTAATTCAGCTTATTGTAAATAAACTATTTAATAGTGTAATTCTAAATTTAGCATGTTTTAGATTTTTTTCTTAAAATATTTACAAGCTTATTTGCTTTAAATTATCATTCTCTTTGTGACATTAAGTATTTTAAAAATATATTTTTGGCCAAATAAACAGACTTTTCCAAGTTTAATGAGCGCAAACAGTTTTAGTTACTGCGTAATTTTTATTCGGCTCTTACATAGCAACAAGAAACATATTTACTTATCAAATATTACTAGACTTTTAGGCAAGTTTCCATTTATCAATTTTTCTCTTCATTTATCAATTTTCAATTTATACCATTATTTTAGACATTTTAGTGAATTGGATAACAAAAATTGCCATTAATTCAGTATTGAAACTTTTATTTTCTTCATCTTTCAAATATTTAACTAATATGTACAGTACTGTATATTAATTTTATTGTATCAATTAATTAATAAATTTTTGACATAACATTGACTTTATCATCCTTTATTGCTTTATGAAAGTGTCCATAAATTAATAAAAGTATCATTAAAGTAAACTGCATTTGATAGATTAATGTCAAGTGTAAATAAGGGAAATACTTTTGACTTTGGCCTAAATATTTTCCTTGTAAAATATGAGTAATTTAAACAAATGAAATAACTGCTTCCCACTAATAAACATAAATAATAGCAATGATAATCCTTGATTCTCCAACTTAAACATTACACTTTGTCATCAAAGTTAAGCAAACATAAATAACAACAAGAATAATTCTTGGTTCTCTAGCCTAAAAACATTGCACTTTTCTATCCAAGTTAAATATAATAAAACTTATTCTTGAATTATTGACTAGATTTGTACATTTGTTTATAATTTAATGATAAATATTATAGTTTTATCTGTAAATTTATTCTTAAGCTGTCAAAGAGTTAAATTTTCATTGTTTTATGTGCAAATTTATCCCTCTTAAGCTTTCAAAAAGTGAAATTTTGACTCATCACAGATACAACAGATGTTCTCCCTTATCAATTCCCATAAACAAACGTTTAGAATTACATAAATAGCAGAAGAAAACAAACAATATGATAATATCAAGATACATAAGATATGTATCACGAAAATAACTGGTTGTTGCTGTAAGAAAACTCTCACATCTTAGAACTTTGAGACGTCACGCAGACAGAAATATCAACATGTATCATGTAACCCCCTTATCAATTGATACTTTATACTTGAAATAAATGATTTTTCCGGTAGGCTACTACAAATAATAGAATTTATCACGGATAATCCAACTTCAAAAAGTAGGAAATGTATTTATTATTAAAGCATGTCACGTTATTGATGTGCAGGGAGAGTTGGAAAAATGGGAAAAGTTTAACTTTTAACGTAGAACAAATGCATTTAAAAGTTTCTATACAATTTTTTTTAATTGTGTTTATTGTTATTTTTTAAGATAATCCAATAAAAAAGTATATTACGTGGAAAATATAAATCTTTGACCTTCACAGAACCATAGCAGACAAGAATAATTAAAGTACAAACCTTGAATGTGCAGTTTTTTTCCCTTTTTATTACGAAATAATCTTTTCTGAGAATTTTCCAGTATATCATTTTAAATTTGGAAATTCCGTTTTTCGGGATTAGCTATTTTAATTTTAGAAAAATACATGCTAAGTAATCATGCATCAAAATTTGTTTATAACATTATATCTAACCATTTCTAATTAGTTTTAGACTAATTTTTATTTTATTTTCTTCCAAAAATATAATTTTTCTTAAGTTTCAATGGGGTTGCCATCTTGTTTTACTATTGATTTTTTTTCTTTTACTTTTGATCGACAGCACGGAGGTGACTTTAGAAAAGACCTTGGACTAAAAACATATCCTTCGATTATATACTCGTACTGCTACAATATTTGTTTATAAAGTGAAAAAAATTGTATTTATGGCTTTATTTGTGTAAAAAGAGGTTTTTTAGATAAATAATTGATGGAATTTTTGTTTTATTTAGAAAAAATTTATTTTAAATTCAACTTAAAACATTTATCTTATAATAATAGTACCATAGCAAGTTGTGGGATAGCAAAAAAGTCAGTTTTGTAAATCCGAAGAAAGTATTTTTTGCTGTTGTTTTCACTAAAAGAACACGAAAGTTTTCTTGAAGATTTGTTTTTTTTTTTTAATAAATTGTATTTTCCACCGTCTCTTCTTCGGAACCGTAACCCGTTTCTCTTAAATTATCTTCAAGAAGACGAGGATCGGAAAGGTCTGATTCGATTTCTTCGTTGTCGTCGTCGTCTTCCTCCTCTTCATCATCGTCTTCTTCTTCGCCTATTGCTTCCTCCTCTGGTAGACTTCGATCATCATCTGTTTCCTCCTCTAACGGCTCTTCTTTCAGCGTATCGTCATTATCTTCGTCATTAGCGTCATCGGTTTCTAAATTTTTCACATCATCATCATCATAATCTGTCACTTCTTCGTCTCTGTGAGAATCCATTTCTCTCTCATTTTCTTCGTCTATTTTTAGTTTATCATCATCATCATCATCATCATCATCCATTTCGTCTTCAATAACAGGCTCACCAGCTTCCATCATCATATCTTCTTCATCGTTGAGAATGTCTTCCATGTTATCGTCCTCTTCTCCTCTGAAATCTTCGACTTTTCCCTGAAGGCTCCAAGGAGCTTTTTCGAATTCGGACGGACTGATTTGATCATCATCTGAAGAATATAACAAGAATTAATCTTCAAAAAATTGTTTTTCACGCAAAAGTTTATAACTATCATAATTATTCACAGAAAACGCAAAAATTACAAAGGTGGAAACGTACAAGACACATCATCAAGTGGCTCGGTGCCGTCTCCAACTCAAACAAGAATAATCTGAAATTACAATGGTTACGTAACGAATTGCGCTTGTGTTTAGAAAACACGTTGGGCGAATAAATGTTCATTATAAAAGTTTTATTCCCCTGCATTTTCGTGCCTGCCGATGAAAAATGGCACCAACAAGAAGTGGTGTGAATCATTCTTAACAGAGTTGAAAATTTACAAGAATCCTACCGTGCGTGACGTCGCACAACATTCTCTTATCACACGTTACGTCATGGCGTGTGACGTCATATACGTACAAGGCCATATTTTACGAAGGCCCACACGAAATTGTGTGGTGTCACGCGTGTTTTATAAAGGACGATGCTGCGAAAGTTAGAAGTTTTGTAGTGCGACGTTGGTGAATTTCAGGAAGGGTCACACACACAATTTCCTGTTCGATTGTTTCAAATAATTTCTTTAGAACAATAAAAAAAGTTTATCGAAAAGAATGGTTCCATTCCAATAATAAGCACGTGATGCATTAAGAAATAAAGAAGTTGTAAAAGGGGGGAAAGGGAGAAAAACAAGTCGAATTCGATTCTTTTTCAAAATAACAATCAAAAAATACAATCAACAGCATCGACGTCGTCATGGCAACGTCGCGACGTGACGTCCCATTACGTAATAGGATTGCGTGGTTCTCACCCGGTATGTTTTTTGGCAAGCTTCGACTTCAATTCGTAGAAACCGAAAGAGAATTTAGAAAGGATCTAAAATATACGAAGGTTAACTCTTCGACTTTTATCATCATGTGATTCGAACTTTTCAATTTTCTATAGAATACACCTAACACTGCTTTTGTGCGCGCCCGTGTGACGAAATTGTTGTAATTTGATGACGTTTCTTACGTCATCAAATAAAAAATTTTTTTGAATTTATATAAAACAAAATTTTAATGATAAAAACTCATTAATTAATAATAATATACAATTATAAAAACGCAAAAATGTATTTTAAAATGAATGTGTTTAGTTAATTCGTTTTAATAATAGCAAAAGTAAATAAATAAATAAATAAAATTATTCTTAAAAATTTATGATTTTATGAATTTTTTTAGGAATTTATCTTTAAAAACAAATTTATAACATGTATTTTTTTATTTAAAAAAAATTAATTTATTCGTCTCGAAAATTGATCCCGAGATCAAAGTCTGCAGGTGTAAGGAATTTCTCCTCTTCTGAGTTCATTGACGTGTATCAGGTGCCAAAAAAATAATTATTCTTGGTATTAAACTGGATGAGGTGGGTGCCCTTCCAGACCAGGGGTGCAGACGGAGGATTCCTCAAGAAAAAATAAATAAATAAAATGCAGCTGGATTGAGGAAGATCACGAAGTTGCCTATTATTAAGATGGGGGATTTTTTTTTCTAATTCAGAAATTACACGACTCGAGTTACTTGCATTCTACTTGACCTTCTAAGTTTCATTTTGAATAATTTGACACCCACGTCCGTTTAATAACGTTACAAAATTTTTTAAAAATATTCCTGGACACACTTCAAGGACGATAGAAAGATGCGTAGATAACTAATGGAGAAAGTGAAACAATAATCTGAATTTCCCCCCTCTGTTTACATATTAATGATTTGGAAAGCTGTTGTCTATGAAACACGAGTTTAGAGTACTTTTTCAGGAAAGTAACGTCGAAGGATGCAATTATTCGGGGATCCAAAGATTTAGAGGGCAACGGCTCATTGAATGAATTAAGGAGCTCTGTTTAGGGAATCAATAATTTAGGAAAAAACAAGGATCAATGGTTTTGGAAGCAACTATTTACATAAGCAAACTGTTTAGGGAACAAACTAATCACAGTAATCAATGGTTTAGAGAGGCATTATTCAAGGTATCAACGGTATAGGACGCTATTATTCATAGAAATCAATGGTTTAGGAGCAATTATTTAAAGAAAGAATGATTTATGGAGCAACTATTCATAGAAATCCACGGTTTAGGAAGAAACTCTTCTGAGAAATAAAGATTTAGAGAGTAAATATTCATAGTAATTAACAGTTTAGAGAACATTTGTTGAGACAGAATAATTTAGGGATTAACTATTCAATGAAATCAATGGTTCAGGAAATAAACCATTGATTTCTGAATAGTTATTCCCTAAACAGTTGGTTCTTTATTAAATCGGATTTAAGAAGAAACTATTTAAACGTACTGTAATAAACATTAAATCACGAATTTACCTCTTAATTAATTATAATTTACCCAATCACGAATTAAAATATAATTTTTCTCGCGTGTATATTTTCTAAATAACGACGCGTATATTCATCATCACAATCAAATATTATAATCACTTTAATTATAAATTTAACGGAATAAAAATTAGACCTTTGGGACGTGTCATACTTTCATTAATAATGAACGATCTTAGGACAGACAAGCAACCGATCTTTTCTTAGAACGATTAATATTAATTACGTGAATTAATACAACGATGATGATATTCTTTACAGCACCCGAAGGGATTTAAAAAATTTCTTTTAAGTTTTGCATGAAATTTGTTTAATTTACTTCAGGACGAACAAAGGATAATGATGTATTTTTCCTATATTTTTCCAAGGTAATTAAATAAAGGTGTAGGAGGTAAAATAAAGGTGCTATAGTCAAACAGTGAGGAGTTACATGGAACAAGTAAAGGTGGGAGAAGGAAGAATGCGGCAAGAACTATAGAAAAACCAGTTTTTCTATAGGCGGGAATTTGATGGCGTTGTCATGACAACTCTCTCTCTCTCTCTCTCTCTCTCTTGTTTGTAGATTCCGCATCAGTCATCCGCAAATTCCAATGTTGAAAAACAGAATATATGTTTTATTTTTAGTTTAAAAAAGGGAGTTATATTTACTAAAATAAGTTTTCTTATTATTATTTATTAGTGTAAATACACTTTAATAGCCTACTTTCTACAGGAGAAGAATGTTTATTTTCTTTGGACAAAGTCCTGGAAGGATTAGCAAACAGTGAAGAAAGCTTTTAAAAAAAAGACGTATATAGAAAGAATAAGTGTTTTAAATGCTAAAAAAATGATATATATATATAAATATAGAAACGACAGCATCATCATAATTGAGTAACGAAGAGGAAACGGTGCTCAAAGCTCGTATATATGTATATAAATAAAAAGCACCCCTCTGCCAATTTTAGTTTTATTTTTTTGGAAGGTTTTCTTTCATTATCATCCGCATCGCTCGAGATACAAGGATGTTTTTATTGATATTTTTAAACGCAAATTTCACGTGTTAAAAACTACGAAAGGAGAGCGCGTATATAGATTTATATTCTGGAATTTAACTTGTAAAAAAAAAAAAAGATAAAAAGCGATTATTTTAAGAAAATGGGACATTTTAAAATATACATTTACCATCATCATCAGCATCAACGAAAGGTTTCTTGGCTTCTTCGTGCGATGTTTCCGATACCTCAGCCAATTCCTTCAAATCAATATATCCATTCCCGTCCAGATCGTAGCTACCAAAATCTGTTGGTAAAGGAACAGGTTGGAAGTCCTTAACCTCGGTTGTCTGGTTTGTTGCTTTCTTATCAACGGGATAACACGATATTGCAGCAACAAATAAATAACATATGATCAAGTGACTGCTTAAAGAAGCCATAACCGACCCGAACACGTGTAGACGATTAAATGAGCTGTGTGTGTGAGTACACAGATTACGAGTGGTGTGCTACTAACTACGGTGGCGCCTTGAAAAATCGTGGACGTTAAGGGAACTACCCTTAATGGAAAGCACAGGTGGATTGAAAAATTCCCGAATTTTCTTGAAGAGTTGAAGGTCGTTTCGTGTACTTTTCTACGAAATTGCTTAGAAAATTGATCGAAAGAGTTGTTTTTTTTCCTTCTGGAAACATTTTTTATTATGTTTTTTTCCTAATAAAACTTATCTTTATTACTTTACTAACTGGATTTTTTAGATTCATTTGAGTTTTTTAGATGGATTCTATATAAAAAAAATTGTAAATAAATCACGTACGAGTATCCTGTATAAGCACGAACTGATGGAAAACTGTGTTAATTATTCATAATTTTTTTAAATATAAATGTATAATTATGTAAACTATTTAAATAATTTAATTTTTATTTTTATTTTGATTGTTTTTTTTAGAAAAAAGTAGATTAAGTTTAATAATCTGTATGCTGTTGGATATAGTTAATTTCTGTTTCTCAAAGAGAAAAAAAAAACAAAATGAAATTCTTATTAGATTTAACAGATGGTACTAATGATAAATTTGTATAGAATTTTGCGTTTTTTATAACTTTAAAAAATTGCCTTTTTTTCGAATTTTTCTTTAAAAACTCCAAAACTCCACAAAATCTATGAACGTATTATTGCATAAGAATAGACTTCAAATCAATTAAAGAAAAAAACAGAACAAATGAAATAAAATTCATGTAATAGTGACTTAAACAATTCTTACAATTCTATTTTAATTTATTTTTAACTTTCTTTTTTAAATAAAAAAATTAATAATAATAAACAGAATAAGAAATATGTTTAATTATAATTTTGTTCTTATTAAAAAAAAAAATACAATTTTTTGCAACTTTTTCACATTAAATGCTGCTTAAAAATTAAAAATATAAATTAAAATTATTCTTAAATTATTTATTTATTTATTTAAAAAATTATTCTTAACATGAATATTTTAAAAATAATAAAAAATTAAAAATTTTAAAATATTTTTAAAAATTATTTTAAAAGTTTCAATTAATGTATATTTAATTTTA